CTGCTGTGTGGAATGCGATCTGGTCGAAGGACATGACAAAATGTCCAAAGGAGTTCGCGTCAGCCATAGAAACGTTGCAGAGCCACTTGCCAGGTCATCCGAGCTTGCAGTGGCCACCTCTTCGATTCCCCGAGGACGCAGTGCCGCCGCTGGTTCCTCCCACCGCCCCTTCTGGAGCCGTCGCATCGCCCAATTCTGGGGCTCCGGCCATTCGAATCATGGTACCGCGTCGTGCAACAACTGTTGCAACACGACCAGCGGCCCCGCCGTCTGCGCCGCTGGCTGGGACACGAGGTGCTCGCGATGTGGGAGTTGGTCGTTCCACGCCAACCAACAAGCCCCCGCCTCTGAGGGATGGTGTGGGCTCTGCGACATTTGACGAGGAGAGCACACGTGCATTTATTGAGAGTCGCAGGTGGGGGGGGAGTGCCGGCAGTTCAGCGCCCTCGCTCGCCCCTGTTTTCAGGAGTGCTAGGCAGTCAGATGCCGCACGGGGTGGTACTGCGGTGGCACCTGGCGCATCACCCCGCAGTTCGTCGGAGCACCCCTGGCTGCCACCGCCACCGTCGAGAGCAGCGCAGCGTCCAATGGTCCACCACGCTCACGGAACCGCCCACCCGGATCCGTTATACGCACCTGCAGATGCTCGACATTCTGCTTCCGTGCCTCGTTTCGGGGAACAGGTGGATCATGGGGTGCCTGCCGAGGAGGTCCCCGCTCCGGTGTCCGATTCATCGCCGACCCCTGTTCCGACAACCACGGGCGGTGGTCGGTCTGCCCCACAGCCTCCACCCGTGTTGACCGAAACGTTAGACCCTTTGCAGCGCATTCGTGACCTTGCAGCCGCCCAGAGCGCGACACCTGTGAGCCCTGGCGGGTTGTTGGATGCTGGGGTCCTCAGCGGGAGAGCTATGACGGGACGATGTCGGGGCACTTACAGGCAGCAAGCCGTCACGTTATATTATTCGGACCCCTTGGAGCGCGCATGGAATCTGCAAATCATGCGGTTCATCGTCGAGAGCGGGATGTCGTTCAATAGCATGAAGCTTAAAAGCTTCAAACGCATGTTCACGATGATAATCCCGTCGGGGGTTCAAGGGGCGCCCACGCCTAGACTTCCCTTGTACCATATGCTGCGCACGACCCTTTTGGACGAGCTGGATGGTGAGGTCCAGAAGTGTGTTCGGCCGGTGCTTGACACGTCGAGAGAGACCGGTTTCACAATCATGACCGATGGTTGGACCAACATCCGTGGTCAGACGTTGTGCAACTACCTTGTTGGTACAGAGATCGGGGTGGTATATGTGTCCACCGACGTCATGCGTGGCAAAAAGGACACTAGTGCCCTCGCGAACGCATGGTTGAAAAGGGTGAAGTCCATGGACGTTCAATTGAACGACATCACGGCGTTCGTGACGGACTCCGCCGGGGTGAACGTCGCGGCGATGGAGGTATTCCAAAAAGATGACAGCGTGAAACACATCTTCTGAATTCCTTGCGTCGCCCACATCATGGATCTCATTCTCGAGGACATCGGCGGGATTGATTGGGTGGCTTCCTGCATTTCTCAAGCGAGGTTGGTTACAAGGTTCTTCAAGCGCCATGGACATGCGAGAGAGGTTCTTGAGGCACACTCGACAAAGACTCTTCTGCTACCGGCGGAGACGTGTTTCGGCACGAACGTCATCATGATGGAGAGGCTGGTGGCACTGCGGGCCGCGTTGACAGATGTTGTGGCCGACGATCGCTGGCGCGAGACTGTTTGGTCGACCAGCAAGATCGGCAAGGATGCAGCGGAGGTCACTGCATGTATCGGCTCCCCTCCATGGTGGGAGGATTTGAGAGCTCTGTGCAAGATGCTAGAGCCCATCATGGGCATGCTGAAGTTGGTGGACAGCGACACACGCCAGATCAGCAAGATTCTGCGACGTTACGAGGAAATGATTGCATCTTGTTTATCCGCATGTCGTGACATTGATCGGGAGCAGCATGACGCTATTGTGGAGGTGTTCCACAGGCGGC